TGAGGAAACGGCCACAAGTTGTATCAGAGGAGGTTTAGATTAGACATAAGGAAAAAATTTTTCTCTCAGAGAGTGGTCAGGCACTGGAATGGCCTGCCCAGGGAGGTGGTAGAATCACTGTCCCTGGCAGTGTTCAACAGGCGTCTGGATGAGGAGCTATGAGATATGGCTTCGTAGCTTGTGGTTAGCAATGGTAATGGGAGGACGGTTGGACTAGATGATCTTGTAGGTCCTTTCCAAACTTACGATTCTACAATTCTATGATTTGGAAAATAATGTTGATAGAACATTACATAGAGTCATGAGACTTAACTAGATTGAGAATTTCTGAAACAAGTACAAACTTTTTGTAATGGCTACTTATAAGATGATCATGCAGCTGGTTTCAAAATTAGTAATGCCTGATAGTTTTTTAAATCTACATAGGGAGAAGGAGCAATGAAATTAACAAAAAATAGAACTCTCATCAAAATTCTTTAAGCCAGAACCTGATCCAGAATAACTAAAGATATTTAGATATTTAGATATTATTGGTTTTAGAACCAACTTCAAAGGCACAGCTAAGATCTTAAAATAACAGAAGCACGGTGATCATTTTGTGCTGTCTTTGTCACAAACACAGCACATATGGTTTAAGACAAGACAATAACTTTGACATTGAAGTGCCAGAATAACGTAAATAAAATGTAGAAAAATAGTATGCATGTGGGCGTCTCTGTGATAATTGTATCCTTTCATTCTTTACGTTTTCAGCTTAATGTTTGTTCTTGTTCATCTGACAGTGATTTGACATCCTTATCATATGTGGGAAAAGATTATATTTTTGCCAAAACGTGCAAAATAGTCCTGTCACCTAAATTTTTATTTGCTGTGGGATTCTGTTTGATATGTTTCTATTGAACTTATTTCCTTTTAAAATATGAAGGATTGGGAACGAAATGAAGGCATTTCAAACTATGAAAGTGTTTTCCAGCATTCATGTCAGTTGTTTCCCTAAACTACTTTATTCACAGGGTACATACAGTATGATAGTACAATACAATATGTAAATTAAATTATATTATACTCCTCTGGCTTCTTGGTAGAACAGTTTTTACTCTGATCAAGCAAGATAACTTTGTAGTAATGGTTGTACATCATGTTAGAAACAATCACAAAGGATAACTTATGAGTGTCTTTACCTACAGCAATGCAGAAATATCAGTTAGATGTCTTTTCCTTTTGAAGTACTTTAAGCATTCTGATAGCCAAACCAAAAAATCACTGATGGCAAATGAAGACTTCTGAATTTCCAAGGCCTTGGTACAAATAACACTATATAGAAAAAAATAGTTTTTGTGTCGCACAGAAAATGGTTAGCCATTCTGCTCTTGTTTTGAGAAAATGCACTTTGAATATCCATATCCCAAAGGAAATATTTTTTTATATTACGACATCTGGAAGTTTAGTAATGCTTTTTGAGCATAGCAAACCCAAAACCAAAAAGGTTTTTTTTCCTTTCTTTCAAAGCCTTTTCAGTATTAAAACAGATTCAGTATTAAAACTAATCTGTTCAAATTTTTAAAATCTCTAGTTTTCTGCTACAGAACACAAAATACTGGATGCAGGTTATATAGAGTACATGTCTTATTGGCTTCATGTTTAATTTTCTTCATGCTCTGTGTTTGAGTGTATGCTTACGTAGAGAGAGCTGCATTGAAAAGGTTTGCTTTCCCTATTGCTGAGGTCCTGTTTTAGCCTGGGAACTGGCTTGTTTTTTTTCCAAAACCATTGCATCAAAATGTGTCTGTGGTGTGCCATTCATCACAAAAAGTAACTGCTAATTATCACCACAGAAATTAAATAAGGAAAATGTTCTTAAGAATATGAGTGGTAAAAGTTTCCACTTTGTTTGGAAGATCTGCAGTTTATCTGAAGTCGATGTTAAATAATGGGACAGCATTAGTAATGGCTGCCCACTCAGTCACTTCAGATTCTGTAAGTACAAATGCCAGACTTCAGCATCATTTTTCAAAGAGGAAATGAAGCTAGAAAACAGCATGTTCTTAAGGATACTGACAGAGGCATTTTTTACAAAAACGTAATTTCTTCAAAGCTCAGTAGGTTAAAATTTTTATTACTTGATTTGTAACAACAGGATAATTTAAAACACTGCACAAAATATAATTGGCAGGAGCAATAATGAGCTAAATCCAAATTCTGATCTTTAGGAGGTAGATTACACCGACTTCAGGAGAAGTGCATCCAATCACAATGAATTTGAATTAGTTCATAAATCTTTAGCATTGATTTTGGAGGTAATAGTTTTGTTCTAATTATTAATGGCATTTTACTCATAAGTTTATATGAAATATTTTGTGATGCTTAAGTTATGAATCAGATTGCTTCCTCCAACAATCCCAGTTTAATTGGAATAACAGCAAGGTTTGGTATTGACTTAGTCTTGAATTAGCAATAATTCTTGATCCTAATAATTAAATTTACTACCTGTTTACAGCTGGATTAATTTAAATGTAATATCCATAACTGTTCTGAGCAGAAGACTTGACTCAGGTTAAGTCAGGAAAAGTGATATAGTGATAAATGTTTAAGTTGGCCATCAACACAAAAGCTGACCACAGCACAAGAATATTGCAGACTTTTCATATCCCTGTGTTTTAGGAACAAAAAGTGCAGCAAAGAAGCAGAAGAACCACGCTCAGTGAGCAGTTTGTTTACAGCCTTCAACTGGCCCCATCATCACAGAAAGCATCCTTTTTGCCTCTTCCACTTCTTTGTAATCAGGAGTGACTTCAGGCTAAGAAATTGTACCTTATCCTGGCTACATCTAAGAATCTTCTTCTTCACTTCCTTTGTATGCATATATTCAGCACTGAACTGTTCCTTGAGTTGATGCTCTCGTGGCCTTGTGTTGTTGTCTTCAGTCTTCTTCCACCCAACAGCATACTACCATTGGCATGACTGGATGTCATTGCACTTTCACAGTTCTTCTGTGTTGTTAGTTTTTTGCTAGAATTAGAATAATTTTTTACTCACTCACTTTTCCATTTCTTTTCATACATTGACTTTTCTGTCTTGCTATTGACTATATCAATTCTTTTTTGAATGTATTTCAAGTTATTGCAAACTGAGTTCTTTTGAACATTTTTCAAATTGCTGCAAATTGACTTCTTGTGTTCCTGCACACATACTTTGCCTCAGCTGTGTTGTTTGAAAATAAACTAGTACAGGTTATGAAGAATTGACAAAAAAATATTTTTGCATTCTTTAAAGAATGAACTAAAAATGAAATAGCTATGGAAAATCCTTTTCTGCATTGTGAGGGATCGTAGAGTCTTGTTTATAGAAATACTTATGCATGTGAATTGTTGGCTTATAGTTTTGGTAAGTTTTTTCTGTTGCCTGTAACAGGCAGGGTAATTTGTTGTAAGACAGGAGGTAATTTGTTTTCCTTTTACCTGCTGTAATATAATTTTAGTAACTCTAACTCAGCTGTGGACTGTGAACCACAAGAAATGATAGGAAAGAACTCGCAGAAAGCATTCACATAATTTTATCTCCTCTGCTCCCTTTTTTTTAAAAAAATGCCTTAATATAAAAGATGCCTTAATAACACATATTCTGTGTTCTATCAAAATGGGGAAAATTAATGCAAGATTACACACAGAAAGAAAAAAATATTTGAAAAGATAACAAAATATTTTCCTTTGCAGTGTTGCGTAGAAATTAGAAATATATTTGGATCTTACTTAACTTTCTATATACTGACATACTAAATTCACACTTATCTACATTGTATTTTCATATTATTCTCTAGAGCACATTTTGCTTTGTAGAAACAGTGTAATACTCAATTTTTCAGCAAAATCTTGCTTTCCAAACTTAGAATATTTTGATGTTTCTACTGTCACATTTTCCTCTTTCCAATGCTACAACTAAAATCTATTACAGGAAAATTGGTTTTCATGGTTCATGTTAAAAGTAAACAAAAACCAAGCATCCATTTTGTTTAAATATTTCAGCAATTAGGCTGAAAAAGTTGACGGTTATATTCTAGTATTAGATTCCTACACAGTAATTGTGCTATTTCCTAATTAAAGAACTAATTAAATTAAATTTTTAATTTAATCAAAGAACTGCAAAATTTTCTAACTCAGCAGGAAATGGCACATGTGGACATGCATCTAAGTTAACTTTTCTTTAGATTCAGTTGACGTAATTATGAAGTGCGATATGAAGTGCATCTAATGCAGTGTCTAGATAGTATAAATTCATCAGACCAAACATTAACGTGGCAGTTGAATACTTATCTGATGTATTTTGACAATCCCATTACTATTACAGAGGAATTAAATGCTCTCAGGCTTTCAGTCTGCTATGCATCAGCTGTAGGACTGAATTAAATTTAAAAATAATAACCTATAGAACTTATTACTGAAAAGTGTTTTTACATTGTACTTTCATCTGTTGCTCAATTTTTTATCACTTGAAATCACTGGTGTAGCATAAAGGCTTCTTGACAAACCCCTTGCTTTCAACAAATCACAAATTAGTGTGTTTTTTTTTTTCCATTTATAAATCTAAAACCGATGAAACCTGATTACTTAATATACATACTGTTTTTTCTTTGTCCATTTTAGCACTATTCTGGGACTTGACATTAAAAAAATAACAGCTTATAATTAGTTAAAAATGCAGCTTCAGAATAGGTGGAAGGAGATAGAATTGTAATAGTATTAGTTCGTGCTTTACCTTCTGATCCACAGACTTACCTGCAGAGAAGCTTGAAGTCAATCAGAAAAGACAATTTGGATGTATACCTAGGACAGTGAATTGTATGGTGTGTGGTTTTGGGACCTTTTTTTTTTTTTTTTTTTTTTTTTCTTTTTTAGTATATACTTGAAAGAAAACTGCAACTCTTGTCAAGATCCACTCATAAAAACTTGCCTTTATCCCAACCCAAGCAAAGTTTTAACCTTTCTGACCTTTTACCCTTCCAGGTTACTTTCTGACCTTTTTGGAACCAGTAAATAATATCACCATAGTCCAGGGCCAGACAGCAATCCTTCACTGCAAAGTAGCAGGAAATCCATCTCCAAATGTCAGATGGCTAAAAAATGATGCTCCAGTGGTTCAGGAGCCGAGGCGTATCATCATAAGAAAAACAGATTACGGTTCACGTCTGAGAATCCAAGATCTTGATACGACAGACACAGGATACTACCAGTGTGTGGCTTCTAATGGGATGAAGACGATAACAGCAACGGGAGTGTTGTTTGTGAGGCTTGGTGAGTTTCTGGGTTTTATAATTGCTTGGACTTCTTTATAGGCTAGGTATTAGTTTTTCCAGTAAGCTAATGAGAAATAAGTTTATGTTTTAAGAATTCTCGGTGTGAAAGGGAATAAATAAAGCCATCGCCGAGCACCTTTTCCCCAGCACAGAACTCAGTGAGTTGAACGTGGTACCCATTCACCAATAATAAAAGGAAGTAAGTACAGATGGAAAAAACTTTGAACTTCTATTGAAGAAAAAAAAATGCTGAACAGGTGGTGTTCAGTATTGCTGAGCCCATCCTTCTGAAAGATCATGTTTGTATTGCTCCATGAAGCCTGGCCTCAAGTTCTGCTCTTTGAGAGCTAAAGGTACATGACCTAACAAGAAGTACTTGCATTGACAATAAGAGACTTGATCATTCCATCTGAAAGCAAAGGTTTTATTTCTTTTTCTTGTGTTTCTAGTGCCATGAAAAATAATTCAAGACACAATTTCCTAAAGTTTCCTCTGATCTTATAATGATAATGACTACTCAACTGTTTGTTTATAGTGATTCATTAAGCACTGGCTATCCGACCTTGTTCTCAGCGTGACAAAGGTTAGGTGCTTAATCTTCCTGTACCATAAACTGATAGGAATGCTCAGGTAGGGCCTAGAAAGGTGTAAGTGATGTGTCTAGATAACATATTGGCCTTTAACAACCCGTGTTTCTATGGCAGCAGATATTTTCCAACAGAAATAATGTCCACGCAGGTTGTTGCCTGAACAGACAGAAGATACACGTGATTTTTATTTGTGGTTTTGAAAATAGCAGTATGTAATTACATGCGGGAATCTAGAGGCTTTGGTTTGAATCTTGAGGCTAACTTTCCTTGAAGAGACAGTTTGCTATTGACTTTTTTTATGCAGTTTCCTTGAGCCAAATTTGCAAGCAATGTTTGTTTGTTTTATATTTGCAGGTCCAACAAACAGCCCAAATCACAATCTTCAGTAAGTACATGTTGGAAAATTACTTAACGTACTCTGACCAATTTTATTCTGTAAGAATTTGTTTCATAAACTCAGTAAATACTGCCTACGACCACAATGTTTTTGCTAAAAATATCCAGTATGATTGAAAACTCACAGATGACTGAAGAGTTCTGATTGGGATTTATGTTTGCTTATTTCGTATTTTGAACAATCAGAATACCACAGAGTCATGATGTTTGAACATGATTTATTTACAGGGCAAGTATTGGCTGGGAAAGTGGTTAAAAATGAATGGATAAAATGCTTAGGTTGCTGCAGTTGTAAATCTACCCATGTCATACTGTTGTGGCTTGAAAAGTCAGATAAAACAGGATTAAAATCTTCTCTTTGAACAATTGAGTACCCCCTATTTGCTAGGTGTCATTTTGACTTCAGTGGTGACTTGGTGATTTTTCTTAGCTATTTCAGCCTGCTTGCAGATGCAGTCATAAAGATTAACATAGATCAGCTTGGTGCTTGCTTTATATATTAGTTTTAGTTTCAATAACACATACTGTGTAGTTTCTTTAGATTGCCACTTGGGAGGCAATGCCATACGTGGCTGCAGTGGTCTGACCACTACTCCATTCCCTTTATATTTCTTTCAATCAGTAGTCTTACTTATATGAAAATAATACCAAATCCTTTTATATATGCATAGTACGTGCAAATGAATTTAGATAATTTTCACAAGGTTGAAATCATTTTTCTTAAAATATTTTTCTTAAAATTGATTGCTATTCAGCTGTTCAAAACTGTGTACTGAAAAAATATAATGATTTTTCTAGTAACTGAAATCCTATTTAAGATTGCACACAATTTATTTCAGAAAGCTGTTTTACAATTGCTCTACAAAGGGAAATAGGTGAGATGCCAGGAAGCTGTCTGATGTTTTACAAGATGGAAAGGCAGTGACCGAGACAAGAGTTAGTGAACTAAAATACACATACTGAAGCACTGAACTTAAGTTCAAAGAACACTTTTCTCAAATACAGCTGAAGAGTATCTAAGAACAAGGTGAAATTCTGGGATCTAGGTTGTACATTAATTAATTTCATATTGTTAGAGGAATAATTCATCTTATTTCTTTTGTTTCCTTAGTATTTTCCAGCATCTTTGGATGCATTAGATCGTTGCTACTCTACAAGTAACATAGTTTTTTAATGATCAACTTTTGAGAGTGAAAAAAATAACTGTTAAACAAATTTCTTAATTACATGTCCACTAAAAGGGGAACTGAATTAATACTTCTTAAGTAGTACCTTTCATTCCTACTTTAACTTATATTTGATAAATTTGTTATTCATTTATACAGGTTTTGAATGATTGGTTAAGATAAAAAAATAGCTTTTAAAATCATATTATTTGGGAAAAACAATGAATATCATATGAATTTGGTACTAGTTTGGGATTATGACACCTCTAAACTGGTCCTGAACTACTGGCATCAGTGTTGGACATTGAAGCAGTAGTTGCCATCTTGTTTTTGGGTCTACCATTGGAAGTGAGATGAAAAGTATAGTGCTGGTAGATATTTTGTATATGCACTAAATGGAAGAGAGAGCTGAAGCTTGAGAAAAAGTGCCTGGGATTGGAGGTTGAGAGAGAAGTCTTGAGGGAATTAGCATATGAGGTGTAGGGTTGTGCAGTGATGGTAGATTTTTTCCTCATTGTATAACTTCTATTTCAATTTTTTTTGCACCTTCCTACTTAACCAGTTTCTGTACAACTTTCCAGTTTTCACATCCTCTCTTCTTACATTACTTTTCTTTCTATTTTTTCTTCCTCTGCCTTACAGTTGTTTCAATGTTCCTCTGCTCCATGACTCTTGCAAATAAAATGCTGTAATTTGGCAGTGCTAATTTTTATTAATTGAATATTTTGTTTAAAATTGTGCAGGTCAACTTATAAACCAGAACAAAGAAATGGGGAAAATAGTTACTGAAATACCTAGATGCTTGGAAAGGGCTGATGTAGAACAGTGGGCTCTTTGTTTGCTGGCTACACAACACTGTCTGGTGTTGAACCTCCCAAAGTGCCATCCTCCTGGCATTAATGTTTCCAAAAAGACATGCTTCAGTGAAAGTTCTGAAACCTAAAACCACTGTGTCTTGGTTTAAAACTGTACCTAATGGAATATTACAGGATAAAAACCTTTATCTATATAAATAACATCTAGCAAGGTATTTTTGTGTATCCCATATGTTTTGCTATGTATTTTTAGAAATTATCTAAAAATTTAGAATTGCTGTAGATCAAATGTACATGATGAAGTCATATTTAGCAGTGCAAAAAAAAGGCCTTGACCTTCTGGTACTGAAGTCAAGACATTTCCATTAAAACTGAAAAGTGAAAGATTTCATTGAACACCTCGTGTGAAATTTAGGGACTTTTGTTGTTGTTGTTTCTTGTTCTTTTTTGTGTTGTTTTGTTTGTATTATGGTTTTGTTTTATGTTTTGGAGAGGTTGAAGAAGTATTTATGTTCTGTGAAGGCTTGTATCTGTAGAAAGTTACAGAGGTATTTCTATAGAAATGGAGAAATATAATCTATCCAAATTATTTATCAAAAATTAATAGCTAGTAGAAATTAGTTTATAAAGGAACTAAAACAAAAAACAAGGAAAAAAACTAGTCTCTGAGCAGCCTTTACTGTACAAAGGACCATTTTACTAGAGGACTACACTACTACAATATCAGCCAGCAGGGTGAATTCTTTCTCTCCCTGCTCAAAGCTGTTATATTTTTTGCATTACTAACATCATTTTCTTTTTCCCTTCTCAAGAGAGATGTTCTGTTCAATGAGAAAAGTGTGAATGTGTGGACATTAAAAAATTGGATACTATATATCAGAGAATGGTACTTTAGTATAGTTTACCCTTAAGCAATGGATGCAAATCTCTTCAAATCTAAGAATAGGAAGGCAGTAGCAGCTGCCTTCCCTTCCTGAGATGCTGCTTTTACAAGATAATATTATTCTAAGAAGATTGCATGTTCAGTAGTTTAACTTATTTTTCTCTCAACTTGAAAAGTTAAATTGAATTTTACCCATCAGGCAAATTCCTGATTTGAAGACATCATTCCTCATAGTTTCTGACAGTAGTGGTAACATCTTGCAGGGGACTTAGGATGGAAGATACCAAACAGTTTGTTGGCAGTAAAATCTTCTGGAAACTATGGTAAGGTTTTAGCAGAAACGAAAAGAGCACAAGAGCACTCTGTTAAAAGTGCTGTGCTTTTCACACATGTAATTGATGTGGTCTGCTCATTATGGTAGGAGCTGAGTGTCTTCTTCTAAGCGCTGTGTAGGGGAACTAGGATTTCAAAGCATAAGAATTCATTTTTTTATTGAGCTCTGATTAATATTGGTTCTGAATTTTCTGTCTGACAACTGTCTACCTAACAATTGTAAGGAAAAACAGGTAGGAAGAAGCACCTTTATTAAGTAGGAGTTGCCATTACCTTGGGAAGCAGTTTTTGAGATACAAACCATTCAGAATAAATTTGCAGTGCTCACAAACATTGTTTATTTCAGGCAGACTGTGTTAATAGTAAGAATTTAGAAAATGAGTCAGTTGAAAAATAAGAAAAAAACTGTAGATGAGAAAAAAAATTCTTTCAAATGATTGAAAGTAGAATGTCTTTGAGGACTAATAACATGGAATCATAGAATTGTTTAAGTTGGAAGGGACCCTTGAAAAGATCATCTAGTCCAACTGCTCATCTGAGTTAAGACTCTGGCGAGGAATTCCAAGGTTAGGGTGAGCTTGCATAGCCCACGTTTATTATGTAGACAAAACACACCTGTGCCTTGCACAGTGATAACCTTGTGCCTGATGTGAGAGGTGGTCATACAGCCTTGTTGTGGGTGCAAGTATGTGATAAATTTACACGTTATCACAAGCTGGAAAAGAGGCTGTGAGACCTTGAGAAAGAGAAAGAAAGGGAATGGGACACTGGAGTACTTTGAACTGAGGTCACCTCCCTGTCCATGTCTGAGGTTATCCAGGAAGAGGGCTGTAGCTATGGGCAAAAAAGATTTTGTTAACTGGCTCCATCTGGCAAGCTAAAGGTAAACACTTTATAAAGGAGAAATACTTCCCTACAGTTGAACAGCAGCACCACTACTTGTATCTCTTTCCTTTCCTTGGAGAGGCAAAAACTCTTTTCTAGTCTAAATGTAGTTCAGGCACAGGATGTTTCTTACAATTCATATTAACAGATATTTGTATACCCAATACATGGCTATTTCAAATCAGAATTTACAATTATTCAGGCATCTAAGGACTAGGTGTTAAAAAATAGGACTCCTATCATGGTACGGCCTGGTTCAGCCTAGTTCAGTGACAGGGGACGAAGGGACTCACAGTCCCACACCCTAGGAAAAGGGTAAGGGGAGAGGGGAAAAGGTAGGGAGATGGGCCTAGATGAAACAAAAAGAAACAGTGGAAACAAGCTAAGGAAAACAGCAAATTTACTAAATATGATAGTGGAATGAGAGACAATACAATAAAATGCAATATCATTGGTATTGAAGCTAATAAATAAAATAAGAGAGGGAGTGTTTGAAACGAAAGACCTCACTCAAATGCTGTAGGTGAGACAGGTAGGGACACAGCGAAGTGGGCAGAGTGTTGTGGCTCCCAGTCAGTTTCATCTTTCCTTCTGAATGGAAAACAGAAATGCAGTAGTGAAGTCTTCTGAGAGCTGTAGTTCACTCTTGTAAGACCAAATAACTGGAACTAAGAGCAATCCACAGAACTGCATCATTAACTCTTTAACTTCCAGTGCACTACATGATGTTATGATATGGAATACTGATACAAACTATGACAGACTACTCCTGAAAAAAAAGCTTGCTGTAAAAAAATACTTGCCTTTTGTTTCAGCAGAATACACACTTGACTGAGATGACCATATTTGAAGTATATATATTTTTCTATAGATATTTGTGGTATCATGTTGAAGTTGGAGAGTAAGC